CACGATCCTAAAGTATACTGACGTAGCCTAACCGGGGTAGCCTAAGGTTCAGTGACGGAATCAGTTATGGCCCTGTCACAAATGGCAAACTTCATGTGCACTTGCGCTCTTGCAAACTTACAATGGCCACTAAGTGCGAGTGTTCGTTAAGTCCACGAGACCATAGGGTGTCCCATTCATCATCTTTCAGAAAGGTGCTCGCGAGTGCCCCCTTTGCGGTCGCTATATGCGCCCTCGATCCGTACTTCTGTTGAGCCCGCATTGGGGCGAGCTCCACACCAGACTTCTACCCGACAGTCAAAGTGGCATTACGTCACGAAAATGTGGACTCAGAGGAAGACCGCAAAGGTTTAGGGTGCGATTTAGGACAGGGCCTATGAAATTGACTAAATGAACCACTATAATTCACGAGCGAGTTCAATTGTGTTTGATGAATCTTTATAACTCATTCTAAAGATCGGTTAATAAGAGTATTTTTTCACAAAATATTTGCTCTGGTCACGCTGTAATGAAAAAAACATGTGACAAAAGGCACAAAAACGTAATATGGACACAAATTTTTAGTATTTAGCACATTTTCTAACACTTTAGCCACGGTCCAGAGCCATAAAATGCATTTTAGAACAACCGGGAAAGGAAGGATAGAATGATATGAGAAAAACTTGAACGTGTCAAGAGAAGAGGGAGACGAGCAACATAGATAAAAAGAGCATTTATTGTTCCACCACACAACGTGTTGTTGGTTTTATCTCTCCACAGTCACTTGTATTTTCTTGTCCTTCTCCCAAGGGTTTATATTTTGCTGCTTGGAAAAATTAGTCACACTACCAGTTGTTTGCCGACTTGCTCAGACTTGCCACTCTAAACCGCAGGTTCATTAACAGGAACAATTAGCAACCAAGCTTGCACTCAGTATAACATAAGGGAGGTTGGTAAAATTACAGCATGCTTCAGCATATTTTATGCTTAAATGGATATATTCCTTTCACCTCTCTGATAACTGGAATGTCCCGAGCCATTATTGCATTGTATCCTTTTTGAAGAATGACTTGCCGAATGACTTCTTGTAAAAAGAATAAAAATTATATAGTTGATTGCGGTCAGGATTGGGCTAAATTGCCTTCTGGAGACACAATATTGCACATCCCGGGGTTAATTCAGTAATGTGAGGATTTTACCATGAAGCCAATTCAGAGGCAACCACAATCACACCATTTCTGATTTGGGCCAAGAAACCACAGGTGACTATTAGTGCAAAAGTCAGAGTACATCTCATTTTCTCTCTTTTCCTTTTAAATGAATGGTTCTGCCATCTTTATTTCATCTTAAAAGGAGTGCAATGTGACCCTGACCCATATCAAATAACAGTGTTACCTAGGCTTATTAGCGGCACAAACCTGGGTGGGTATCTTTCTCTCTTATTCCGTTCCAACTTCCACTTTCTCTCTTTATCTGTTTTCCACCTGTGATCACATAGTCTTATCTTCAGTGATATGCTGCTTGACCTTCCATTCAGAGCCAGTTGTGAGGAGGTGCTTCGTCGGAGGAGAGGACAGTGGAATGGATATTCATTAGTTATGAGATAGCCGTCCGCATTTGCATGATGACCTCCAAGGATGTCGGATAAATGACAGCCAACAATGAGGGATGTGATTTAAAGCCTGCACTCCTCCTTTTATGGGCTGACCTTCCCCTACAACCCTGGCCTGGCTTTCATACTCATCTACCTATATTCAGACATCATCTGACATAATGGACTCGAACAAGTCCATTACCACTGTAACTAACATCCTTCAATATGTCATTGAATGACAAAAGGATTCTTTTCAAACGATCTGTTTATGAAATAATTTGTGATAATTAGCTAAAATTCTAGCAGGCACACAGGACAAATATGAACAAAACAGAAGATGAAAACATCCAATGTCATATAATGAGAAGTTTTAAGAAAAATAGTACATTCTTGTGATAACTAGTTTTATCTACAGTGTGTTATTCACCTTATTTTGCAATATACTGTAGCTCAAACCTTCAAACCTAGAGCATGGCCCTAGCAATGCCATGGTCATGGGCCTGATTCCCAGGGAAAGCAAGGACTGATCAAAAAGTGTACATTGAATGCAATGTAAGTTGTTTTGGATAAAAGCATCTGACAAATGTATAAAAGTAAATGTAACATGGAAGTAAGCAATTTCCTGTGAATGAGGGTAAAAAAAAATAATTTGTCATATATATGTTTCCTATTTTGGTCTGATGCTTTAGTCATTCAGGAGTGCTAGGTGTTTGCTGTAAGGTTTTTGAAGGGAAATCTGCATTATGAGTGGTCAACTTTCAAATGAGTAATTAGAGTCTGTTTACATGAGGCAATTAAATGCCCTCTTTATTTCAGGTGACTATAATGCTTAATAAAGTGACTCATATGATGTATCAGCTCCTCTTCTTTCTATTTTTCTCATTTACATAAAAGTTGTCTTATATGTACCTACGATGAATTGGCTTGTGAGATGCAAGTGAGATGCAAGACTTGAGTTTGAAAGGAAAGGAAAGGAAAGGAAAATCAATCAATCAATCTGGCCAAAATATATTTTAAATATAGGTTTAATATATGTTGTAAATTCTGAAGCTCGATTAAATATATTTTTGAAATAGTAAATATATTTCATTTCAACCTTCATAACTTCAAAATGTATTTCTAAATGTATTTCAAAAATGTTTTTTTGGAACATTGTAAACTAAAGTATGTTGCTGATTTTTATTTAAATATGTTATATGTTCACACGTGTTCATTTCTTAAAATTTGACATATGTGAATGTATTTTTTATTTTTTTTTAATTATATTTTTAAAACTATTTTCTGTTCTTGTACAGCTAAAATAACTGGAAGCAGATGATGCTAGAAGCCTTGCACAAGTCAAGTTACAAATGGCTGCACACAGTCTTACATTAACAAGAAGGTGGATTAGAAGCTAGAACTGTAATGGTGACTGTACATATAGATTAAATTAGTTCACATACTGTAAGAATTCATGTTCCATTATCATGTATTATTATAATGTGTTCTCATTAGTGTTGTGAAGGCCGAGGTCAAGCCTTGCAGTGGTAAGTACACCGGCTATTCCATTCAGAAGTCAAATAATCCCCAAGTCCACCAATTGACGGCCCATCAATCATTCCCCACACACAAGCACTCAATGAAAGCTGTGGAGGTGACAACGGATTTACACGAGAGATTGGACCTGTTGTTAATTAGGTCCTATTGTACGAGCGATCTGCAAGCTCAATATCTTACGAATATTAGCTGCTGACAATTCATTAAAATGTCCGTATACCTTTGGCACTGACTGGTGGGGGGAGATTTGGCTAAGTGAAATAATGAAGCAGGGATATGGCTGTGCAGTAGTGTGACAGTAACAATATGCAGATTACCAGGACATTTTTGGCAGCAGCTGAGATCTGGGATTTATTACAGAAATGTGAGAGGCACCCTGGGGAAATGCCTCTCATCAGGCTAGCAAAATGGGCATTGAGCAATATATATATATATATATATATATATATATATACATCTGTTTTCTATTTTAGTCTGATGCATTTGTCATTCAGGAGTGCTAGGTGTTTGCTGTAAGGTTTTTGAAGGGAAGTCTGCATTATGAGTGGTCACACCTTCAAATGAGTAATTTGAGTCTGTTTACATAAGCCAATTAAATGCAATTAAAAGCATCAAAATAGTCATTTTCCACCCTGTCACCAGTGTTAAAATATATGAATGGTCAAACTGCAGACTGCAAATTCACATAGGCACATTAGCAGTTTTTATTCATTGATATATATTTACCCAAAAATGAGGGTTTGACTCACATCAGTGTCCATCAAACACTTTTATTGGAAGTTTGGTTGTCTCTGTGCAGTTTGATTATCGTTTCCATGATGAGGCCTGTTCCAAACCCTGCCAAACTTTAATAAAACATGACTGATTGATTGGGGTTCAGTGCAAAGCACAGCTAATTAAGGTTGGATGGAGGAGTATGTAATTCGGAGTGTAGCAGTGCATCATCGACAGTGAAGATGCGGGAAATGTATACATTCCCTTGATGTGCTTCCTGAGAGAGTTATCTCCAAGTCAGTCCATCCTACCATCAAATGGCTGATGTTTTTATTTATTTAGACTGCAAAAGCTTATGGCCAAGCACTGTTTGCACTCACTACCTTAATTGCTATGGAAATTAATGTAAAACGGCACTAGAGTCAATCAAGTGGACAGTTCAGTTTAAGGAAGATTGCCGAGAATGGACTGATCATTAAAAAAACAGTGTGGGCTATATAACTCATGATATGCTCCGGACCAGGACTGCTCAATCATGCTCCTGGAAATCTACCATTCTGCAGAGTTCAGTTACATCTCTGATCTGGAACACCTGCCTGTAATTTTCAAGTGAGCTATAAGATCTTGATTAGTCGGTTCAGGTGTGTTTGATTAGAGTTGAAACTAAAGTCGACAGAAATTGTAGATCCTCAAAAGTAGGACTGAACGTCCTGGTTTTAGAATCTACAGAACGTGTCTAACTTTTAATCGGTGAAGTAAAATTTGATGGCAACTTTTTGTGAATTTATATAATTATGTATTGTATAAATAAATAAATAAATAAAGTTGTTTGCGACTTCCAAGACTTGCAAGTATGACGTCATCTAGCAACATTTGGCGAGCAGGATTTAGCTACGTTCCATCGAAAGTATTTGGCAACAGTGCCTAGTGTATTCTGTATTAATTACAGCATCAAACCTCAATAGGCCTACCACAATGTAAAAAAAAAATAAAAAATGTATTGCATCATTGATTTCAACCATTTAAATAAGTGATTTTATGAAATCCAAAAAGTAATTAAAAAGTAATTAAATTCAAAATGGTGTAGAAAGAGCAAATTGAAAACGCGATGAAGCGACAAAGGATGCTTTCGCTTTCACCTGCAGCGTTTTGCTTTAGCGTAGCGCGTTTAACCAGTGGCCCTGCCCACACCGAAAACTCATTGGACTGAAGTAGCCATTCTCATGTATATTAATTATCAAATATGGACGAGCGGACACTGATTATGTAAATTTAGAATCGGATTACAAACAAATCCCTCAAATTAAGCGTCACGGACAGGTATGTGTTCTTACATTTACGATCTGCAGTGAATTGCGAGAATGCAAACGGAGAGAACAGCTAGTTTGGCGTTGCTTTGTGTTTGTGTTGTGTCATGTCATTGCATACCCCCATTTTCGTCGGGTTTTTTTTTTAGATTGCTTTCTTTCAAATAGTTAAGATTAGGGCAAATTGCAGTCGTTACTCAGTAACTAATACTGTTAAATTTGGACTTTTGAGGCAGATGTCCAAATGCACGTATACTTATCTTTGGTTTCAAACATCTGTTAATGAACTTGAATGACTTTGGTCTGTTAATGAAGTTGTCAAATAACGTGTAGTGTAGCCTAATATTACAATATTTCTTCGCCAAAAGCAATGGTTTACATTTTTTACAAAAATGTAAAGGATAAAGTTAGCTTTACATTTTGCGGTTTACATTTTATGATTATTTTAAATTTGGCTGAAAAGAAGGCTGGTTAATTGCAAGTTCCAATTCTGACAACTTACCCCATAAAGTGTGACAACCCCACTACTGGGGCAAGTTGTCACAAAAGGGCGATATGAACTTATCTATCATCTTTTTACCCTTGTTAGTAATGGCAGAAATGTTCTGTGGCTTTTTATCTATGCAGAAAGTGTGTAGCAGAATATTTATTATTATTTTTATTCATTTTAAATGCGCATAGTCATAAAAACATCAAATTGTTCTGAACGTTTTCCCTCCAACTTCAACCAGAGAAACTTTTCTCCGTGGCATCTGCACCAACATTCGTGCAAGTGTCGACCACTTACCGACACCTGTCTGTGCCATATGGGGGACATTTTGAAACTGTGCTTTTTCCCTACAAATGTGCAGGTGAGCAATTTGCCGTCAGCAGATTCTATTACATTGGACAGGCTGCCTGCAAAGCGAGGGAGGGGCTGTGGGGTAGGGCAGCGGAACGTGAGTCTCTCTTTCTCACTTGATATTTGCCAGAGCGTGGCTGCACCTGTTCGAGGTTGGTGAATAATCATACACAGAGGGGGATTTGACGGCCAACATGCGGCACCATATTGCCTGGAGATCGCCACGTATATCAGTTTGCGGCTCTGCATGGCAAGGGACAGAGAAACAGGCTGACATAATAACGCCATTTGTGATAGGGACTTGCTATTAGCTAAATGAGTGTCATATTAGCCACACTGCCAGTAACATGGACCAAATCACTTTCACTGCTGCTTTCAATCGGCACTTTTCTTGCATTTGGTCCACCCTTACAAACTGGCACAAAGATTGCCTCTTAGAGTTCCATCTCATCTCGGATGTAAGAGTATCGGGACATATGACTCTCTCTTTAATTTTGCGGTTTGACTAAAGCTGGCATGGTGACAGACTTAATGCGCTTTGCAGGGTCCAAAGCGTCTCCGGTTTGGAGCTCTGGGGGCAATGAAACCAGACTCTGTGGTTTTCATGTGTGGGCCGAAAATGAGTGAGTTTCGGGTGAGAAAGAAAGAGAGGGAGAGAGACTCTTTGTGCCTCATCACTTGAAATGTGATGATTTTTTTTTTTGTGGCACTTTCAGATCACCATTTTGAATGTGTGTCATGTAAATTTAGCTAAAGATGCATTTAATTTTTTCCCCTTAATGTGGTCATAGATTTAGTGTAGTCTTCAAAGTGAACTATTTAGAAATCTAAGATATGGATCAGAACTTTTTTTTGAAATTCATATCACCTCACATATATCTTAAGTAGCATGAAGTTTCAGGATTATGAAATGAGAACAATTGTAACAGTCTTGTTATTTTCAGAATCATACATTTAAATCAAATAAACCTTGTTAATCACAGCTAGACTATAAAGTTTGAATAGTCAATATTACCTGTGATCAAAGCTGACCTTTTATTTCCTGTATGATTAATTAACTGTGTGTGTGTATATGTATA